AGGAAAATTCAATTCGAAGCTGGCTGCTTTAGTAGAATTTCCACATTATGTATGAGGCAGGGACCTTATTAGAGCTCTCTATACGTATGAAGACGATTCGGAACCAAATAATGTACTTAACCGCTCATATGTAGACGTAAACAGTCACCAAATTTTCATTCATATTCCAATCATTTGAATAATCACTATCCAAAAACAGCTCTAGTATCCGATTTTGATATTGCTGCATAGGCCAAGGAACCTCCCAAAGCTCACCATAATTATGTACACGAACAGGATGCAAGGAGTCTCCTTGGCGATCCATGAATGCAGCCAGTGCTTTCCCGTGTTGCTGATTTTTGTCCCTTGATATTTTCCCATGGATTCTGTAAAATTTTGTGGAACTGGTGCTCCGTAACACGTTTCTTTCAGGAGAAGATATTCCGACCAAACTCCAGCCTTGGGAACATACCTGCGGAGCATGCAGGACCTCCTAGGCACAAACCAATACAATAATACAATCATTTGTGTTGTAGTAGAATTGTTATTCCTCACCAAGAACTATCAGGCAATCGCCACCACATCAACGATTCTTCTTCCAAAGTATTAACAATAGAAATAGCAAAATCCCTAACCCAATTACGGTACATAGCTTCTTCCATGTGGAAGTGATCTTGAATCCATATCGATCAGGGAGGTTTGATATCCCAATCACCTAAATACTTCTTTTGTGGCAAGTAATTTTCGACGAGCAACGTGTCGATTGTGGTTCCTCTGTGTATTGAGCCATTTTCAGAAATGGGCGTGGTTACCAGCTGATGTGGGCGGAAATGTGCAAGTAAATGTATGGTAGTGGATGTATGGTAGCAAGATAACGAAATTCTACATTCGATCAGTACAGTAAAAGGATGACCGAATAGGGAGCGTACAGTGATGGGAGGCAGAGAGGAATTCCATGATTATCGTTTCATTGTAATAGGCTATATGTATTTTACTGGGATGTTTAACTACCAAAACCTAGCCCATGTTGTCTCCAGTGCCCCATCCGGTTTCTCAGAACAACTCGATCACAGTACTGTCTAGGATCGTCTCCTACCTCGTCGCTGCCTCCTGCCGGAATTGCATACGGTAACTCCACAACTTGGACAAACCCTCAATCCACGACAAAGTTGAAAATTCATTCCGTGAGTTTTCATCTTTTCGAGAATTTAATTTTCAAGTTTTCGCATACATTCTGTGCGTTTCCATAAAAGCATGCTGCTTCAGGACAATTTTTTAATCCCAATTTCGAACTCACAAAATAACCTAGCACTTGAAAACATTTTAAAAAACTTATTAAAATTTAGCAAAAAACTGACAGTTCCGAATCTCAAACGACTACAATGAGAACAATCAAGCTGAGGCAGAACACAAATAAAAATATCCATAAGCATACACCTGGCAACAAGCAGTGATTTATAATTTACAATAAATTTTTACTAAATAGGTCGGATGCTTTCCCATGCACCTCTCAAGCATTGAATGGGCCATCCAACTGCAGTGCTAGAGTTGAGAGCCATGAGTTGATGCCTTATGGCTGCTCACATGAGTCCCACCCCGCAGAGCCCGGCCCGCGTCTCGACATCGTCTTTGCCTTTGACGGCAGACAACTTCATCAGACAATATCCTTGCGGATATCAAAAATACGTTATACAATCTGTTTTCAAATACGCCGTTTTGCACATACGTTATACATATTAAATAGAGGCTACCGTATTCTATTCGAAATACTGATTTTACGCGAATCGCCCATTCATCCATCCTTTGCCGGATTCTTAGTTTGGCCGCCTGACTCCTGGGCGGTCATATCATCTTCGAGTCTGGTGAGATAGCTGACAGGTAAATGTTGGAATAGAGGATCGCGAATTCGAGCCAACTGCCGACGAACTTCTTCCACCTAAAACGTTCATCCTATTTTTCGGATTTAGCAAAAACCTTCACAACTGGACCGGGACCTATACTAGAACTATAGTTTTAACCCTTAGAGGACAATGCGGATTTCGACGTGACGCACCCATGGGACCACGCTCCCCTCCTTTTGCGCGCGACTAGCACCCACCGATGGGAGCCACTGTCCCAGAAGAAAATTCTTTCACTTACTTACTGAATTCAGCAATTGGAAAGAAACAAGAAAGTATGGTAGCTCCCAAAATTGGGTGCCACCGGTGGGTGCCATTGTCGTCAAAGGGTTAAGCTGGAATGGAACTTTCAAGTTGAGACCATGGCAGGAGTTGAGGTTCTCGACCAGGTAGTGTATATTTAAAAGAGGTGGCAGGTGATGAAGAAAAAAGGCAAGCGGGATATCGACCGCTCCCTAAACGGTTCTACAGAAACGTCAAAATTTCCACAGAAAACCCATTTGTTATACGTTCATTACCCCCTAATGAGGGCCCCCATGTCAATCTTCGCATGGCAATGAAATGACTGAATGGATCAATGTCAAGAGTGAGGTTCATTTTATCGTTCTGGTTGAGACGTTCTTCTAGGGATTTCAATTTTCAACAAAATTGTCGAACCACTCCAAACGCCGGTACAGTCTGATCATTTCTGTTATTGCGCCCGAGCCTCTCGTTTGTAACGGGAGTGCAACTAATTTGTCTCTTACACTATCACACGAAATAAAACTCCGAAGATACTTTAGGCAATTGCTTTCTGAAAAGCACCTTTTTATTTATAAAATTCGCTTGCCCAGAATTCTGCTGTGGTTTTTCGTTTTTTGAGGTTCCAGATTGCGATTTTCTAAATGGCATAACCACAATTTTTTTCAACTCTCTGCATTTAAAGGTTGGTGTGAAATCAAGCAGAAAGAGAAAGGATATATAGAATTTCCAGTAGACCGTGCAACTCATGCATTTGATTTTTCAGGCAGGAAAACCTCTCAATCTCATGAATTTCAATTGTTTTGTTGCCTTTTGATTGATGATTTGATTCCTTACCCCTAGAGCTTTTTGAAAACAAAACCACACAACAGCAAATCGTCGAAGTCGCACGAAATACTTGTGAAATTTTCACTCATAACATAAAAATCAACAGTTTCAACCGCCAACAACGTTTAACGATACTGCCCTATCCTCCCACCTAAAGGTTTTATAAAGTGACGGTTTGCTCGAGCAAACATGGAAAATTAGTTGTCATTTCAACCTTTAAAGGATGTCAATATATCCAGGGTTACTCCAGCCCAAAAGGTGCTGCTTCAGTCTTTCGAGTAGCGTCTGTACCAGTGTACTTCATCTACCGCATAAAATAGATACAAGACAATCACGGAGCACTGAGAGGATAGCTGCAACAAAGGAAAACCCATTCCGCTCATGAAATTGGTGGGGGAACGGAAAGAAAGGGTGAATTTTTCCGGATGTTATGGACGAAGTGTTCGGAAAGCAGCTCCCGCGAAAACAGAGAGGGAATCAGTCGGCATCTGTAACCTTCTGAAGGTTATCTTAACGCGTTACAAATAGAAGCACAGCATCAAGGAATTCGAAACGAGAAGTAAAAGGGGAGGGATACGACAAAAGTGTTAAGGGACTTGGTTGAAACTAAATGTGAAATACCTCACTGATAAATACATCATGTGAGGTTGGCCTAACCAATTTTGCCACCTGATTCATGCTGACTCAACTGTCAATAGAGACAGCCGGATTCTATGGTCATTAAATAAAAATTACTTAATTCCAGAGTAACAATAAATAAGAATACTCCTACCTCTGTTACCAACTTATNAACTAAATGTGAAATACCTCACTGATAAATACATCATGTGAGGTTGGCCTAACCAATTTTGCCACCTGATTCAGCTGACTCAACTGTCAATAGAGACAGCCGGATTTTATGGTCATTAAATAAAATTTACTTAATTTCAGAGTAACAATAAATAAGAATACTCCTACCTCTGTTACCAACTTATTATACTTTTCTATGTCGAATCCGTGTTTGATGGCCCGCTTGTAGAACTGTTTCGTAAACAATCGCTCCCGAGCATTGGGGTATTCAAACGACTGCAAATAAATAATATAAAAGGCAATTCGGCGCGAGTATGCCAGATTAATTCACGTGAAAATGGTGATAGCATGTGATACTTAGACGTAAAAATGATAAAAGTGATACTGACCTGTCGTGTATATAAATAATAGCCAAAAGTGGCGACTACTGTTGCGTAAGTAGCAAAGTACGTGACCGGTTCCATAATATCCCATGAATATTCCCACCATGTTAATCGGGCAAATAGACCTAAAAAGTGATATTCAAAAAAAAA